CACCTCTTAAGCTTCCTGGAGAGAAGAAAAACCAATAGAGCCTGCTCCATTTTCTCACTGGAAAGCCATTTTTCCCAGTCTTGAACTATTCTTGCAGCCCTTCTTCTGAACTTGTTTGCAGTTCCCATCACCCCATGCAAATTCCAGAAATGAACAACATTTTTTGGTAGTGATCCCACAAATGCTGTAACACGGAGGAAATGCCACCCTGACACTGCTCAGTCTGTCCTGGATAGGGATATTTCAGTCTCCAGCACTTAGGAAAGGAAATTAATAAGCGAGTCAGTTCCATTCCCAGATTACAGAAGTACAAAAAGCCTATTTCATTCATGTGTTTACTTAGCATTATTGTATACAGGAGTGCACTTCGTGTTCTCATGCCTGTTGTTATCCCTGAGCGTGCTAGTCCCCAACAAAAAGCCAGGGCTTGTCTGGTCAACTCTTTCTAGTCAAAGAGGAGGAAAAGCATCTGAACACTGAAAATGAGCCATGGGGGAGCCTGGTGAGCTGAGGCACGGGTGCCTTATGCCCAGTTTTCTCTCAGCAGTAGGGCTCCTCGGTCAGTCGTTACATGACTACCTAAGCCACATGTTATTTAGCTGGCCAGGAAGGCAGGAGCTGAGGCAACCGGTCTATGGCCCTGCTGCGTTGCACCGAGGCGCTCCCCGGCTCGGATGGCCCAGCCCTTAGCGAGTGCTCTGCCGCCTTTCTCTGACTAACAAAACTGGATCCAAAAAGGTTATGAGCAGTTTTTCCAACTGCTCTTTTTTTTGTTCCTGGTCCTGGTGTTTGTTCCTTTCTGCCACCACGAGCCTGCTGCTCTGCTTCTGCCAACAAAACTAGTGAGGTTTCCCTGGTATTGGTGAGGTTTCCCTCCACAGCGCATGGAGACAGGTTTCTTTTAAATGCGTTTAGGCTTAGTCATCAAAACGCTGAACATGGTATATACTATCCACGATGTCACAGCTAGCATCCCCTCAGCTAACTCAATTTTGTCCCATGATGTCCAGTCATAGCGAAGGAAAACGGACAAGATCCCTGTCAGGGACCCACCCACGCCATCTAGAAGCAAGAATCTGACCTGCACAGCCCCATCCTTTTTCCTCCCTTCTAGCACAGCGCTTTCATGGCCAGGAAAAAGGTGGTTTCTAGCATCCTCGAGCAGGTGCGTGCATGCTCCCTGGGCTTCCCTGCCCCCATGGCCAGCTCCCTAGTTTGCAACATTTTTTTTCCATGGAGTGGAGAGGCCCACAAGGCTGTTGCAACACCCAGAGACCTGGCCTTTCTTTGGCTCCTGTAGAGAGGTGCAAGTCTCCTAAGGCTGTCTCGTCCCAGAGAAAGCTGCTGCCTTCTGCCCTTTTTGGGTCTTTCGCCCATTATCTGGATCAAAAAGAACAGGAGCAGATAGGTCCCCTATAGAGTTGACTCTCCCTTACAAATATTGGAAAGCAATACATGAAAAAATAAGCTGTGCCATTTGTTCACTCCATTTGCTTCTTACGAAAGTTGCACTGTTGGGAAGAACTGCGTTTGAAGGACAGAGAGCGTTTATTTAGGAGGCGCTGGGAATATCACAAAGCATTTACCACCAGATGAGAGAACGACTAAAAGCATTTCCTGTCGCAGTGTAGAGGAAAATCAATAGTTCAGAATTAATAAGAAAACATTTCTCATGTTGAAAGAGGGAGGGGATTGTCAATATCATTTCTTCAAGGAAACGTTAACAAAAAATTTCAGCCAGTCACTGCAGCATCTCCAAAGTGAGACCTCACACAGCCCTCTGGTTTGCTGACAGGTGCGTGACCGCTGCCATAGCCCTCACTCGCTCTGCGTACACCCGCACACAGAATCAGTGGGACAGGGGGTGACACAAAAGGGACAGATGTATTGGACGACTGTATTTGCTGCATTGGCTTCCTCCACTTCTGTACTCACTCCTGCAGAAGGGAGAGCTGTGTGTCTACCACAGCCCCTTCCTCAGGGGTTACGGCAGGAGAAAGCAGCATTCACTTTCGCTCTAGAAAGGCAAGTAACAGGAAAACATACTCAATCTCTGCATTTCCAAGCTGTGGCTAAGCTGCCTCTCCAAAGAGCACCACCTGTTTCAGGCCTCGTTCGCCCCTGGGGCCCCGGGGGAGGAAAGTTGCAACCGCTTTGTGGTGCACACTCCCCCATGACAGATTATCCTGGCAGAGGAACTTTAGTTTGCGCTAGTGCAGGAACGAACCTCTAGCATTAACTAACCTGTCAGCGGGAGCGGGTGGGCAGCCTGCGGCGTTACTGTGCAAACGTGCTGCAGCTTGGAGAGTCCAGTCAAAACCCCCTCCGAACTGGGACAGCACCACCGGACATGAGCCTGGTTGAGAAATGCGTTCATTCGCTTAGCATGGGGCCTTGGGCACCTGCGCGGCTGCGGCAAGGTGCTTCCAGAGCCCAGGAGGTCCCTGCTGCTGAGAGCGCCGACCCACCGCAGCAGCCGGGGTATCGCCCTGGAAACACTCAGGTCTAAAGAAAACAAAACCAGCCCTTTATTTGCAGACTGAAAAAAGCTGGCTTGCTTTTCACAATTTGCATTCATCATCTGAATGTGGTGAAATCAGAGGGGCTGGGCTACAAAGGAGTGAGTCAAGCCCTGCCTGCTTCACCGTGCCGCTCGCAGGCCCGCGCTGCTCTTCCCTCTGCCCCCTGCCCCGGCTGCAAAAAGGCTCCAGGAAGGGGCACACCCTGCCCGTGCTCTCCAAAGGCTCACACCAGCCCACTGCACCCACGCGATGCCCTTCGGACCGGGCTCGAGCGGTCAGCAGTACTTTTGCCTCTCTTCTGGTGAGCGCAGCCAAGGATAGCTCACTCCACAAGCTTTGCTGTTGAAGTCGCTGGTGCCGTTGGACAGCCAGTTCAGTAAAACATTACAAGAAATGGCTGACAATCATTTTGGCCTTATCCAGCTAGTAATTTAACTAATTTTAGAGAAATGGGCTTCTTCTGGCATATTTTCAGCATCCAGGCAACATCTAAATAAGAGGTGATAATAAATTCTAAGCTTTATGGGCTTGGTATATCGTTGGATCAGTATGTACATGCCTACACCCAGGTAGCTCGGTTTTCCTGCTGTTGGTTGAAGGCGTTTAGAAATAGGCCATGTCTCAACTAGGAGGTGGCAAGGGAGCCTCCTTTGAGAGCGAGAGGCAAGGGTGGGGCTTGCGGGTGCTAAAAACGACCCTGAGAAGACCTCCCTCGTACAGAGCAACCCACTGAAAAATAAAACCTCTTGGGATACAGTCCTTTTAGTAGTAATTTGTAACCACTTCTACAGGAAGTGCCTAAGGGTGCAGAAGAGAAATCTATTTCAATGCCTGTCATCTACCCAGACTTGCAGAATATATAAAGTCCTAGAGGGATCACAGGGCTACCTATGACTGCGCTTATCTTTATTGCTCAACCTTTTAACACATCCTGTTCACACTTTGTTCCTAAATTAGGCTCCTAAAACCATTTTTAAACTCCCAAACAGCACAACTTGGTTTACAGCTATGTTTTTATCCCTGGAGTTCGAGACTAAAAGGCACTGGCAGATCATCTCCTCGTATATTATCTTATACCACAAATAAACTGGCCAAAGTATAACTTCCAGAAAGGGATCTAGTCTTGATTTGAAGACTTTAGGAGACAGACTCCACACTTCTCTTTGTGTTTTTTTCCAGTGGCTTAATACCTTGTAATTAAATGCCGTGCCTTGTTACCAACCTGGTATTGTCTGGCATCATCAATTCATTTTTTTCTCTGCCAGAGGGAAAAAAAAGTCCTCAGAAGCTGTCTTAGTAGTAGCATAGTCGTAGCTATGAACTTCTATATTGTAATTAAGTCACTTTTGAATCTTGGAACTCTGAAGTTTCTCATTTTAAGACCTGCCTTCCAACTCTTATTCTTTTAGTTCCTTCTTGCACGCTTTCACAAGTTTTCAGTACCCTTGTCAGGGGTGGGCAGTAGAACTGCACACGGTAATGCCATATCTCATTCATCAACACAGCAAACAGAGAAAAGAAATCATCTCTTTCTTATGGCAATACACAATGCTCTCTCTTTTATATATATATATATCTTTTGTAGTCTTTCCAAGATTGAAAGACCTTTATATCTTTCTGGTGCTGCATTGTGTGAGGTACTTCTGCCAGGTGGCCAATTCACTCTGCTCCCACATCTCACAAGGGGCTGCCCATTTTAAGACTGCACGCTGCAAGTGTGGCCTGTGTTTCTCGTTCTCCCACTGCTGACCTGGAGAGGATTTGCGTGGCAGCCTAGCTGACGTTAAGAAACATCCCGAAGGGAAGCACACTTCAATTATTGGAGCAGGATGCAGCGAAAAACTACTTGATCTATATTTTTTTCTTATAGAAATGAGCCACATTTTTTACTATTGATTAGGACTCCCAGTGTTTCAATTCACATATGACTTGAAGGCTGTGTGATATGTTAACAGACATCCTGAAGAAAGCCCCTAACTCATTTTATATCCTGTGAAATGCTAGTCCAGGTTGGTAGGAGCACCTCTAAGACCTTTTCTGTAATGGAAACAAATCACTCAACGAGTCATTTAGATCTGCGAATACCACCTACATGCTATAAATTCCTTGGAACATACCCAAGGAATGAAATCTGTACACTGCAAATACTGCTTAGATGTGACTTTGCTAAAAGAAAGCACCTTTGGAAAAATATCGTTAACACAGCAAGACACGTTAGCATCTCCCAAAAAGAAATTACTTTGCCACTAGGTGGCAGATTTTTATTTAATTATTTATTTATCACTGTGTAAATATCTTCTAAAAGCAAAAATAATAAAGGTGCTATTACTCACAGAGCAATAAGGCTGATATGCAGTGACGCTTGCACTTT